TACAACACTTCATAGAGGGAAAAAGGAAAACACCCACCACCATGCCCACATCTACTCAGAGATAGCCAAGGCAAAATAGACTAGGCCTCAGAAAAGGCAACTATCACAGTATTGCAAGCTTCAAAACTCAGCAATGACTTTTTTATTAATAATTTCAAACCTTGTCTTAGGCTTTTAATTCAAGAATAAAGAACAATTAAACTCTGTCTTTCCCTAATGGCATTAGGAACTTTTACTGAAAAGTTCTGATTTTGTTGTGTGCCCAGTAAAAAACAAACAAGCAAACAAAACCCCAAAAAAATATGTTTAACCTTTTCTTTCATTTCAGTTCACAGCTTCTCTAACAAGGTTACTGGAAGCATTCTAATAGCTGAGCTTATGCCTCTGACATGCAATAATGAAGTATTTTGTTTATATACTACTTGAACCCAAATAGCTGCATAGAAGAAATCACAGATCAGCCAAATCCTCTATTTACTTATATTTAGGTTTAGTTTGATGAAATGCTCATGAAACTCCTGACTCCTCCAATGGGGCAGTATTGGGTAGATGTAATCTGAAGGTTACCACACTGATTTTTACAGAGACTGATAATCACGGTTGTGAGGAATGACTTGGTCTTAGTTCTTAAGGAGTTTTTACTTCACTGCAAAGAAATACTATTTGAATTGCGGTTCTCTTTCCCACTTGTTCAAGGGGGAACAAAAAGGTTCTCTTTTCCTCTTGTATCTCTTTCATTTAAAAGAGACTGATAGAAAATATAATTAAATATTGACAAGAGAGTAAAACAAAAAAGTAGAATGAAGGGGAGAAGGAAACACACAGGGCTCAACAAAAGCAAATTATTTAACGTGAGAAATCTTACTTATATTTGCTTTGCTGGTGTGCATGGCTTTTGCTTTCCCTATTAAGCCATCTTTATTGCAACACATGCGTTTTCTCACTTTTCCCCTTCTGATTGTCCTCCCATCCCCTGGCAGGGGAGGGACTGAGCTGCTGTGGGGTGTTTAAACCATGCGACCTCTCAGGATCTAACCAAAACCACACTAACAAGTGTGTTAGTGCCACTGTTAGTGCCAAAGCCACTGCTCACACTGAAACAAAGCCTAGCTGCCAACAAATAAAACGTGCACCCACACACAAAGAAGAAAAAAGCCCCAATCTGGATATCAGTATGTGTCTCTCTCTCACTCAGTCCTAATTAAATATAATCTTAATAAAGACAAAGTTTTGAATCACAGAATATAGCATTTCAAAAAACAATAATATTGTTTCATATCAAATGCAGCGCCATTGCCTCAAGCAAAAGTAAAATCTATTTCCAATCACAAGTTTAAAGGAAAAGATAATCACTCTATGTCAGCAACACTCAATTAATTTCTCCTCAATAGCAGCATTTCAAGAAGCTTAAGTGAACTATTTGCTATAGAATAACAAACTGATACAAGGTATCTACTCTTCCTCATGAGTCGTGTAAACTGTATTAAAAAGGAATAAAAAACCTCTGGAAACCTTGAAGAATGAAAAAAAAAAAAAAAACCCAAACCCATGGCAAGTAATTTCATAATCAGCAATCAACCCAGTTTTCAATCTTGTTGGAAACTTAACTGTTTTTCCATTGTGGTCTGAAATGGTACTACCAAGTATTTTGTTGGTAATAAAAATTCTTTAAAAAACCCCAAGAACCAACAAGTATGTTTGTCATACAGGAGTTGCAAGTGAGAGCATATTCTGGACAGTTTACAACTCATCTGCCAAGAGCCTGGAAAGGTGCTGAGGTCTTGCTTTCCTCAGATTCGAGTGTTCATGTGACAAGTCTCAACAATGGCTCTGGATGAAGCCTTGCCTCTGAAAGAGAGTTCTTCATCTTTCATTCTGCCTTCAGAAGTTATTTTCCCTTTATCTAGACCAGCTGAAATACCATCAGTACCTTAGAAATTGCTAGAACATTCTGTAATGAAAAACCAGTTTGTTTTCTGGGACACTGGGGCAGAGTTTGTATCCCAGCACTGTTCAATTAAGATAGAAACAAGACCTACACATGCTCAGGGCTCCCAAATGGTGTCTGAGCATGCAAAATAATTTGAGGTGTCTTGGGATCCTGTTTTCACCCAAAGTCAATATTTAAAAATCTTTTTAGCTTAATTTAGAGTGAAAATTTGTTTATCCAGATGAGTTATTTGTATGAGCATTCTCTTAGTTCCCTATCTGTAAAGGGCAGGAGAAGGATCTACCTCACCTGACCTCTGAGCACTGCCACCTGTGCTGAACATTTCCTGGCAGCTCATGGATACAATGTGCAGCTGATCTGTGTCAGACTTTAATTTTGAATAAAATGCATGATCAAACTTGTTGATGCACAGATACCTTTGCTTAGACTGATGGATCCTACCTTGCTCACCCAAATAAACCTGAGATTTTGGGAATACAGCACTAAGGTACAGAAGGTCACCTAAGATACAATTTGAATAAAGAAGTTTTGTTTTGTTTTGCTGTTACTCTGTAACTCTCATTATAATTATTGAGATTACTAAAATTGAAAATCAAGAGACAAACAAATGGCAAATATCCAAAGTTAAACCCCAATAAAACAATTGCTTGAAACTGAAGTGCAAGAAAATTCAGATCAATCCAAAGTGGATGACAGAAGGAAAGAAAGAAGGCTCACTGGTCTGCTCCATTTGTATTGACAGCATGAGGTCAAGAAGGTCAGAAAACAGGCAAGAACAAACCATTTTTCTCTTTCTCTTCCACTCATTTCTTTCCCCTCTACTACACAGGTTCATACTTCATCATCTTCTGAGGCTAAAAAAATTTCAGTTTCTGTGTACTTCTAATGAGTTTAACATGACATCATCACACCAGAACTCCAACATTTTCTGCTGTAGTGTGCACTTTTCCCAGGAGTGATTCTCAAGGATAGGTCAAACCCACAAGATTTCATCAAGTTCTCTCAGCATAAATGTCAGCATATTATTACTGACCAGGAAAATTTATAGCAAAATAAATATCTCAAGGGTAATTTCTTGTTCTAATAAGCAAGAGAGTATTATTTTCAACAAGAAGGCTGATGTGACAAAATACAGTTACAGAACTGCAAAATGAATGATATGAAGTCTCCAAAAAGATGTTTTAAGAGGTGATCCAACTATCAGTGTTCTTGACATGCCAGAGAAAATTCCAGAGCAAGCATTTGATATTCTATGTTTAAAATTATTTTTTTAATATGATTTATGTATTATTGACAATTTGAAGCCAATTAACAATGAATAAAATGAGAAATAAAATTCCATCTTCCTGGTAAAAGAAACTGATTGCTTTTGTACATTCCTTTCTAGGAAGGATAATGATTTTTTAATTAAAAAGTGCAGTACAGAGCATTCTGCAACAAATTGTGGACTACAAGATGTCTCCTAAAAAAATACTTTATCATCAAAATAAAATAAGAGAAAAGTTTATATTCCTTCCTTATACATGTAAATCATGCTAATATAAGCCTGGCAGGGAAAAATATAAAATAAAATATTATCTTACATGTAATACAGGCTTACCATAAAGATTTTCCATATTGTTTTCCAAATCCCTATCAATAAACACAGAAATAAGCATCTTTTGATCATGGTGCTTGTCAGCCATCTGTTTAACTGCCACCTGTGCAACAACAGCTTAAACACAGCCCTATTTCTCAGATGCTTCTACAAAGAGCTCAGCAAATGAGAAACTCAGAAAGGAAGCATTGCTCAAACTATTTAAACCAGATTTGATGCTTCAAATGAATGGAAGAGTTTGAGTTGGAAGGCACATCTGAAGGCCTGCAAAGTCCAGCTTCAAAGTGTGATCAGGTCTTGGCCTCAAGGCCTTTCTCAGGCAAGATTTTTACAACTGCAGGGTTGGAGTTTCCACATTCTCTCTGGACAACGTATTCCAGAGCATGACTTAATTGGCATCTTACTTTACAGATTAAAAAATGTTAATTACCAACAATTTTCCTTTATTTCTACCTATGAATTTTACAAGTTTCTAGCACTACTGGAAAAGAAAACGAAAAAGGTGGTGATAAAACTATCATGACGTCATGGATAAGTGTGAAAAGCTTAAGTACACATCAGAACACCCAAATTTATTAATTTCATTTCAACATGCTATTATATCAGTGGCCTACACTGATCTTTACCATGCCTTTTACTTGCTTCAAATGTCAGATACTACACTGCAAGGAATTTGGTTTATTTGGTTTGACAGACACTGGAAAAAAACTCAGCAAATGGACAGCTGACTATTTGCAAAGACTAAAAAAGCCTCCCATCTTTCTCTGATTGAAAGTTTCTCTGATGACCAAAGTTTAGGAGGGTAATACAAACAATTTCTCTGACAGTGACCTAGAAACACACACAAGTCTGCTTGAGATATTGCTCCCAATAATGTGGTCAGCACACAACTTGAAATGTCCCTTCAGTAACCACATGCCCAGATGCCAAACCAGTTTTTATACTCTGGGTTCTCTTAGAATTGTCCTGCTCAATTCAAAAAACATAAAGACACTAAAGAGGTAAGTCCCTAAAAGCAGGTAGGGCAAAAAGCTGGAAGCTGGCAATGACACCAACCAACCTGGGCAGAACAGTGGGTGTCTCATCCCCTGCAGAGTAAAGCACCTTGAAGAAGAAGCAGATGTACATTTTTCCTGGTTTCTACAGAGAAGGGTAGAAAAGAAAATGGCCTCATCTCCTGACCTTAGAAGACTCTGGCATAAAGAGATTATTAGCCCTTAAAATTAAAGGAAGGCATTTGATGTATGGTGGTTCATTTTTTGAAAGTGAGAATATATCTAAGATTCTTATTTCTTTTGAATTGTCCAAAACTAATCACTGCTTTCCAAATTTTGATAGTCACCATCCCTGGATGTGTTTAAAAAAAGACTGGATGTAGCACTCAGTGCCATGGTTTTATTGAGGTGTTGGGGCATGGGTGAGATTCGATGATCTTGAAGGCTCTTCCAGCCTAGTGATTCTGTGAATCTGTGATCTTCTAACTGCTTCTGTGCTATTGGTAATGCAAATTGACTGCCAAAGCCCACATGAACATTCTCACTCTTTCCCCCTGTCTCTTCTTTAAGAGTTTAATATTCTTACTTTATTTTACACTGATTTTTCAAGAGTCTTTAGCTCATTCCCTTGGCAATAATGCTTGCATTTGGCCAACAATCAACATATATTGACACAGAACTGCTTTCAAACCAGAAAGGGCTTACCAGGCTGAAGGAATTGCCATGTGGTTGAATTTCCTGGTTTTCCAGCCAATTTCCATGACTAGAATATTGCAAACTGGTCGCTTCTCCTCCGGCTTACCCTCCTCCATATCTAAGATAAAAGAAGAGCACACATCATTTTCTCCTGATTATAGCAGGACTGTTGTTTCTCTGGGGGTTAAATACTTGGGTGCTTTGAATTCCTTTAGTCAGAAAATGAAAACTTCATTCCTTTTAAGCTTGTGGATATGTAAGATTTTCTGACTATAAACCTGTCAGGTGCAGACTTATCCAGACAGGAGTGACTAAGAAGCTGTTCTTTATTCTCTTCTACCTGCTGTATTACTTAGCACAAATAAAAAGACAAGTGACCACACAGTAGGTCTGCAAGCTGAACTAATGTGCTTCACTGCCTCTAATCTCCCCAGTTACTGCTCATTTTCAGTCAAGAACCATGACTGATTTTATAACTCAAATACCATTTTATTTTCTTTAGCTCTTATATAACTGTGGTTATTTATTCTTTGCTACTTGAGAGTCATTTTTCAGTAAAATCAAAAGAGCAAATGAACATATTGCCAGTAATCCAGTGCAAAAAATCATAGCATTTATTTAATGAGAGCTCTGCTATTTATTTGGCAAATGAGAGAGTGGAGTGGCACTGACATTATGTAGAGCAGGGACCAGTCTGAGATGAAGTGGCAAAGAGCAGCTTAATGTAACTCACTGATAAAACTGCCACTGATCTTGCTCCCTATCTGGGGTTCCAAGAGAAAATGATGGAAAAGACATTCTGTGCCATTAATGATAACTGAGTAAAATGTGCCAATGAGAGATAATAATACACCTACATGACACAGACCATTAAGCAGCCAGTTACAACAGTCTCAAATAACACAAACAAATGAAAATAACACTTATGGTCAAACCCTTGTCTTATTAAGCTGTTGAATGGTTTTCAGAATAATTAATATGACCTGGAACTTATAATTCAAAAATTTAAACTACTGCCCTGTCTGTTTTCCCTAGTTAATAATTATTTAATCCAGCAATGTCAAGATGTGCAGCAGTAACAAGCAGAACTGTGCTGAAGGAAAGGCTTTTGGCTGTAATTCCATGTGCAGAAATAAACAGAAAGACTTTGACCCCAAGAAAAGCCACTGTCAGTGTCTTCTTCAAGGTATGTAAAAAAAATGTGCTTTGAGGTTAAAAGCAAAGATTGAAAATTGAAAAGCATAAGAGTGAGAAATATCCATAGCATCCTATTCATCCTCTTCCCACTGCACTGGAGAGGTGCATGAATATTTTTTTGCTCTATTTTTGATTTCTTCTCTAAATAACAAGTACACCACACTGTGAAATATGGGGTGCACTTCTCATTTTTGCAGACATAGGACTGATGCAAGATCTGGCTGAAAGAATTAGAGATACCACTCCCTGGTACTGGTTTTAAAGGTACTAATTACCTTTCTTATGTCTTTATGGGAACTTCAGGTTCAGTCACAGGAAAGGAAAAGATAAAGGGTTCTTGAAGATATCCTTGAAGGCATGTGATGGTCACTTACATATGCAAACCCAAGTGAGAGCTGTGTGTGCCACAATTATTGAATCCTCACATATTATACACTTTATAGAGTCTCAGATGAGAGTGTTGGCAGGACCACAAGAGCCTTCTGTGGGGGCACCATCCTCCTCCTCCAGCCACCTGCCCTGCCTTGGCTACACAAAGGGCACTGCTGCTCCCTTACACAGGAAAGGTCACAGCTCCTGCCAGTCTCGTTCCAGGGCTGGGAGCATCAGGTCAGTTCCCCTGGATCAGTTTCAGCATCCAGAGAAATGAAGGCTATACAAGCTGACATTACCAAAACTATATGGATTTAACATCTCTGGAATACTGGGGACTGAGGGTCACAAAGACCCGAGCTAATATGGTAACAAAACAAGGACAATTCCCTAATTAAATGAAATTATATTCTTCCAAGGATTTTAAACATTGCTGCAAATATGTTTAATCTTGCCCTATAATATTTTTAGATTTCTTTTTGCATAACTCTGTTTATGCTGATTAATAGCCAAAATCTTCTCACAGCAGACACAATTTATAAACCAAAAGTATGGATAACTAAATGCCCAATTGAAATATTTCCTGCACTGCAATTTAGTGCCACAGTTTTCAAACATAGTTTAATTTCAACACTTAGTATTTTTTCTTGTGAGTAATGATAAAAGGTTTTTATTAGGTAGCCTAGATCTTATTTCATGTCAAAGCAGATCAGGCGCTGTAATGCAATATTGTTTCTTTAAGTAAATTTAAAAAATTCTAAGCCTTTAAAAAAGCACTTTACTGGTTACCTTTTAATTAGGAAAAAAAAAACTGGAATCAGAGCAATATAAAATTCTGCATTAATTTCTGAATAAGAAAAGTAGTTTTGCAAAAGTATTGAAGCAAGCTAGATTGGTGAATGTCCAGATTCTGGAATAAAGCAACTAGAGAACAAATCTGGTACATGTTTCCTAAAACAAGGAGATAAAATTCAGATATCTTTTACTGTGCAGATCTCTACAAAGCATAACCTACTAGCTTCCCACTTTCCCCTTTTTCAAGCTTATCAAAGTAATCTGTTAAGTGAGAGGCACTAAACAACTGTCTTCTTCCACTGTGATGTCATCTACTTAGCTTGGTTTAGTTCAAGTGCATCTTTATCATTCTACTTAAATGCAGTTGCCTTGGTTTTTTCCCTTGACTTGCTGCATTTTTTTTTTTTTTTGCTTTTTCAGTCTGGTTGTAGATTCTCTTGGGCAAAGACCAGTTGTTAATATGCACAGCTTCTCTCGCTGTAATCAGGACTTTTGAAAGGTTGTTACTAATGTTCTTGGAGAACTATCGCTAACCATGAATAAACAAGAAGCTTGCACCTTGGCTATTAGAACACGTCCTTTTGTTTTCCTCTTTTTGTGCATCATTCATAGACTAGTGAGAAAATAAAACCTTGGGCATATATACACAATCTAACCCTAAATGGTGTGCAATCATCCTGTCCTTTGGTTCAAATGGGTATTTTTTCTTAGTGTTGTGCTCAAATCACTGCATTCTGTGACAAAAAAAAATGAACTCAGCTTGCTTATCTACTCGTCCCTTTCAGGGACACATCTCATTAGGAGACTTTTTGGTGCAGTGTACCCTTTCACAATCCCTCCAAAAAAATGTAAAAATTATCTCATGCTGTAGCTTTTGCACTGTTTCAGTACTAGGATTCCCAATATTACCTGACAGGGAAGTAAATCCTTTTATTGTGCCAAGTATTTTATGAATTATTAATTGGTCCATTAGACTTTTGCCTGCAAAAGGGAATAAATTAGAAAAAAGGAAAAAAGTACTTGTAAAGGTGAAACTTCAAGTGGTCCTGCCTGCTAAGCCAAATTCTTAGAGCTGCATTTGTGTTTACAATAAATCCTCTCTGCTAGTTTTAGGTTTGAAAGTTTATGGTATCACCACAATGCATAGTTCAATGAAGGAATTCGAACAGCAAGAGGAAGAAGATGGTACACACATTTTGATGAAGCATAGCTGCAGCATCTAAAGACACTCTGCAAAATGCTGTTAATGGCTTACTGAATTGATCTGTTCAATTTGGGCTATTTAATGAAGCAGAGCACCTGACACTTTATCATAAGCTTGTACTGGTTAAGAGTGTTTAGCTAAATGTCTGTATTGCTAATGGTGTTTCCATGCCATATTTCTCTTTGCAGATCTGCAAAAATAATAGTGTGGATAAATTCCAGGTATTTCAGGCTTTGGAAAGCACACTTTAGGAGGCAAAAGGCAGACTAGTGAAGAAAAGGCTGAGCAGCTTCATAATACAAAGAGTGTGAGTAGCAAATAACTGTGCCATAATTAAAGAAAATAAAACATGTTATCATACTTCTAGGTGGAAAAAGCTGGAAACTAATCACGTCTGGCTGTAATAGTTCCTGTGCTCTTGTGTAGTATAAATCTAGCAAAATAGAAATAAAGACTACAGTTCCAGAAAGAAAACATTTAGGTGTTCAGATTGAGAACATTGCTTTATTCTACTCATCCATTTTTAAAATTTAGATAGACCTTTAACAGTCTTGTAAAATGCATTTATCAGTTCAGTGTTCACTAGATTGTATTCGTCTTTAATAAGATCCATACATTATGTTTATAAAAAGAAAATTAACTTTCCCTGTTCTTGGTGGCAATGAATAAAAACAATTGTAGGAACAGAACACATTTGTACAATTAGTAATCTGAGGCTGGCATTAGACTGTTGACACAATTAGAAAGATCTCTTAAAAATTCTCAGAAACTTGTTTGCCCAGCTGTATTCTGTGTCCTCTGGAGTTCTAAGCAGTTTAATTTGCAAATGGATCAAGAAAGCCAAGGCCAAAATCACATTTCACTAAACATAACACATTGTGAATCATGTGTTCATCATGTGGGCTGATTCTTGGTTTATTGCTTCTGTATAAAATATACCTTGAGATGTTCTGGTTTAATTTGGACAAACTTTTAATTATTATTAGCAAAATAGACATGGTATAAAAGTTAAAGGTTAGCCTAGTATATGATCCCACTCAAATGGCAAAGAAGTAATTACCTTATCACCATCCAGAGACAAACAGCACCCCAGACTCAATGGCAAAGGAAAGATAACCTTGGAATTCAAATTTCTGGCCAAAAACTGAGCCAGTTAGGGTTCAGAGCTGATCTTGTCTACTGTGGTCCTAAACCAATGGATTCAGGTCCAAATTTTGGCACTGTCCTGTTAAACTGTTTCCTCACCAATTATGTAACAATTCTTGAGCCTCATTAAAAGACTTCTATAGATAAAAATACAGAAAAGAGCAACTTTGTCAGTAATTTAAATGGGAATAAAACCATTACCTAAATACCAGACTTGCCGTCTTGTCCATCCAGATGAGAGTAGGATAATCTCTTACTGTATGGATGGGAGGTACTTAATACAATAGAACTTCTAATTTTTGTTGAGAGGCTATGTACTCTTTTAATATATATAACATTAAAGGTTTCAGAGGGAAAAAATGCTGAAGTACAGAAGATACAAGATAAAAAGCTACACCAACAATTTCTAACTACCCTGTATAAACAAATCACAAACTTTTCTAACAACTCCACTGCCCAGCCCGAGTAGATAATATGCAGAGCTAGAAACTAGCATATATTAATGATTCTATTAAGTAGTGTGAACAATAAATGGTATTTGTTAACAAAGACAGAAATACAACTAATTTTAACAAAGCCCTCACAATTATAATTTCCAGGAAAAATTTAGGCTTCTTTTTTCTGCAGCTGGGAAAGACAACTGAAAATCTTTGACATTCCAATGTAATTTTCAAATTAAAAAAATAAAACCACCTCGTTACCAGATAGGAGAAATATTCATTCGTATTTACAGACATGTTTGCTTTCCTAAATGATCCCCAAATACTAAGTATTACTTTTCATTTATAAAATTGAAAGTCAGGTACAGGGCACTTTTCCCCAAACAGATGGTACAGTGCCTGGAGACTGAATTCCCACTAGGTGGTAACAAACACATGCAAGTCACAAGAGTCAATAAGTCTCAAAAAGTAAGGCAACATGCTCCACTTTGTTCAGAAACAAGTCAGTATGACACTATTACCTGAAAAATGCCCAACTGACTTTAATTTGAAGAAATATTTTGTTACAAATCTTTTCCTGATCTATAATTGCCATAACCCTAACCTTGCTTTCTGCTTTCCTTTTAAACCCCACTTCATCTGTGGGCTGGCTCTCCAGCCCCCCAGATTAAAGCTCTCAGCCCTCAATTTCTGTCTCTTGCTGCTGCTGAAAATTCACAGTAGATTTTAATTCCCTTAGCATATGAAAGTGAATTGTTCCTAAAGTAATAATCCTGTTCATATATTGCTCCAAGCTGGTGAAGCAGTGCTTGTTGTTATTCAAAGGACAGCAACAAAAACATGGAGCCTGGCTCAGCATATTGGTTTTTTTCTGCACAGGGCATGTACTTAGAATTATTCTGGTTTTCTGAGCTCCCTGTCAGCAGCTTTCTTTACAGAGCAAATTTGACAACTCATTGTATTTAAGGAAGTTTACTTCAGGATTTCTGCTGGTTTTCGTGTCTGCATAATTTACTCACAGATAAAATTCAGTATTATTATCTTCATGTTAAAATACATTTTAGACATTGCAGCAATCAACATCTAAGAAGTTGTTCTATTTTATATGGTCATCCAGGCTGCTCACAGCCAAGCTGAAAAGATTTTCAGTGGCAACATTCCCTCACCTTTCCAGATGTTTTTTGTTGTTGGTGGTGGTTTTTTTGTTTGTTTGGTTGTTTTTTTGTGTTTTTTTTGTTGAGGACGTCTAAAATCTTCAGTCTGGAGTAAGAAAAGGACAGGAAAAAGTTATTTCCCTCAACTAGAAAGGGCATCATGCTTAAAACACTAATTCCTGAAATGCTCAGTTCCCAAGATGCCCATCTTGAGGAGCTGAAGCACTTGCACAGAATGATACACTGTGAGAGTGGCATTACTTAGCCCAAATTAAACAGAGAAGTAACCCTATTTCTTCCCTTAAGCACCAAACAAGGGAAAACCACCACTTAATCTTTGGCATTTGCTATTTACATTGTAAATCATGGCTCAGCAGGGACCCTTGCTGCTTCTCCCCTGTAAATGTAACTTGGCTGGAACAGAATGGGCTCATGGTTAACTTCTCTCTATAAACCTGGTATAAAAGGACTAAAAAATACTGAATTTTTTATAAATAGATAAAGATCCTGAAGAACATTGACTAAATAAAATGGAATTTAAAAAACACAATAATTTAAAACACCATCCCTTTAAAGTAATTGATAAAGTTTTTGCCTTTACATTTCGCATGGAGTAGATTTCAGAACTGAAACAACATATTGGAAACTAATTCAATTGCTCTACCTCTTGTATGATATATAATAAGAAATATTCAGTTAGTCCTGCTCCTCTCAGGGGCACTGTGTAGCTATTTCTTAGCCATTTTTTATGCACCTGTACTCACCAAACCAACTTGTATCTTACACTTGACAGTTACTGCCATTCCTAATCCATAATCCCATGCCGTTGCCAAGGGTAGCCAAAGGTCTGTTTTCTCTATGAGCATCTTTTGCACATTTTTACAGGTACCAGTAGCCTTTTTCTCCAACTAGGAATAATATTTAAAAAAAAAAAAAGAAAAAAGCGTGCAACAAGCATTGGAAGAGAACTACAGAGAAAACAGCAGGCACAGTTTCATTCATGCATATTTAAATAGTTCAGTTAAAATGTACTAAATGGAGTTTAAAATATTCCCAGTTGTTTCTGTGAAGGTGTGACAACATTTCGAAACCTGGATTAAACTGATGTTGTTTTCTGATGTTGTTTTTTTATTCAGGCACCAGATTTTCAACTAAAGTGTGAATGCCAAAACATTACAGCCAAGACCCCAAATGATATCAACTTAGAAACAGTGCCACAACATATCAACATCATTTTATTGATCATTTTCTCCTAGTGGAAGAATCCAGCACTTTTTAAAGGAGGCAGCTGAGGAGGCAACCTGACTTGGAGATGAAGCTACAAAGCTGCAGTGATTGAGAAATAGGAAAAAGAAAGTGAAATGTACTCTTTTTCAGAAACATCTTTGACCAATTCATTTTTATATGGCAAACTATTCAAAATTAATCATGAAGAGCTTATTCTAGGTCTATATTAAGACAAAGATTTTTAGTTGTGTTCAGAGCATGTTTGTTACTATTCTTCAAAGAACTGCAGTTAGTGCTGAAGATATATTATATCTTAACAATTACTAAAATGTTGAAAAAAGGATGTAGTATGTCCTATGGCTCCTGTGTCTAGGAGCCATAAACTTACTAGCTAAGCTTTCAGCTGAATGCACTTCATGTAACTCTAAATCAATTTTTAGATTAAACTGGAAATCATCTCCTGAACATCTTTCTGACCCGTGCCATGCCGAGAGGTGTGGCTTGGCAGTGCTGGCAGGTTTCAGTGCAGAGACAGGGACCAGTGTCACTGTGAGGGCACCAGGGGCACTCTGGCAGGAGCTCTCCCTGAGCTACAAACAGAGTCCAGCAAGGAGGATCAGTCAAGGCAGGGTCTGGCAACCCAGGTAGAAAACGTGCTGCTGCTGGGACCAGACTACGCCTAAACTGCATTGGCAGTTTTATTACAATTAATAAAATATTTATTAGCTTTATTTCCCTAATTTATTTCCCATGTTTTAAAACATTGGTCTGTGTTAGGACTCTGGAGGAGATCATTGCAGTTCATCTGAAGAGAGCCTTTCCACTTGCAATACCATGGCAGTCCTCAAATACCCAAGACATCATTCTAAAAACACAACACAAAGAACATGCATGTCTTTGAGTCTCTCCTTTAAAATTTGCTGTTAGGGAAAATTTCTTTTGAAAAATTCTGGCTTTCGAGCATAAACAATTTAGGACATTATAAATAAGCATTCTAGCAAATATTGCAAACCCAGCTTTTACCAAAAAAAAAAAAGATTGCCACTCTTTCTCCCTTCGGTACAGTTTGATGCATCTCTTAATTCCCTGACACTTTCCCAGAGAAAGTGTAGTTACTAACGTGGATGAATCAGTTGCATCAGAAGATACAAAGATATTATTACAGTATTTAGCATTAACTCAGGTATTATGCAGTCATTAGGGAGACAATGCCCTTAACAGAATTAGCTCATTTTCACAAGTGCCAGCACATAAAGCAGAGTGCAACTTTTCTTAAGCTCTGCAGTAATATAAGCTGAATTTAGATACAGGATTAATTTCTTCTGGATCTGGCCATTAGGGGCTGTACCTATCATTTAGATGCTTGCTTTTAGAAATGCTTTAATATTAAGAGATATAAGGGACTTGAAAAGTTATTATTATTATTATTTTATTGATTTACTTTTAAAGACTTTTCAAGAAGTTTCACTAACTGCCTAAAGCAATGAATAAGATAATTTTTTTACCATCTCTAACTTGTTTTGATGGGGGTTTTTTTATGATATCTTTCTCAAGATAAGGCTTCATAGATCATAGAACTTCATAGGACTTCATAGATCTTCAGGAGAAAGTAAGATTTGAGATTTTTCTAACTTATCTCTGAAGTATTTTAAGGGGTCTTTTTCCCCCTATTTAAATTTATACCCCCTTTGCATTTAAATTCTAAATGGAAAATGGCTACAAAAACATTAAAAATTAATTAAAATGAATTAGTTGTCCTTGCAATTACTTGAGAACACTGCAAGTCAGAAAGTAACATTAAATACTGTAATACAATCAATTTGCATGTAATTTGATTTAATTAAATTAATAAAAAATGTTTGCACTTAAGTAAAGAGTGACATATCACAAATTTACTTCTAAGTGCAATAATTACTCTCACTTATAAAACAAGCAGCAGTTAATTTGAGGGTGCCTGTAATTTTAAAGTCAAGATACTGAAAGCAGAAATTCAGCCTTGGATTCTCACATCTTGCACACAAGGATAACACTTGAGGACTCAATTTCCCTCAGCTCTCTTCTGTTTCCAAGCAGATTATCATTCAGCAAAAATGCTGAGCTACTTTATGGTCACACATTTTACCGTGAGAAATCTCAGTAAAAGAGCCATATATTTTATTTGGAAAGGGCAAGAACCAAGGTCATCTTGATCACAGATGGCAGAAGTTAAGAAATGCAAGTACTTGACTAGCACATCAACTACCAATGTGCATCTTTTTAAAGTAAAAGCAAATCACCACAGAACCTTTCTTTCTGAAGAACCTTCAAAACTTCAGTTAAAACCTCACCTTGAAATAATGGGAAAACAATCTCTTCTCATTTATCCATCCTCTGTTACTGCAAAAGTATATTCATGGACTTAAGCAAGCAACTGATTTTGCACCTGTGCTTGTTTAACTATGACAAATGAGTTATGTGTTTAATTATGAAAAATGAGAATAATTTTCCCTCTGGAGCAAAAGTTACGGAATTTGTAAGTCCTTTTGTTATAGTTGCATAACTGGATGATAGAGCAGTGCTTGGGTGCCTACTCAGTTCCCTGATGGTCCAGAAACTCCCCAGGAATCACCTACACAGGTGGGAACAGATCAACTGGAGACAAGAGTGAACTCCCAGATGTCCCCAGGGCACAGGATAAATAACTGCTGCAGGGGGGACCTCCGATATGTACTCATTATGGTGCCTTATACAAAAAAAACCTCAACAAATTAGGCATTTCCTTAAACAATCATTCTGCCCATGAGTGTCTAAGATGATCCAGAAGGGCAAATTAAGTAATTTCCATGTTTGTGTGTCTGCAGCAAAGGGAAAGAGAGTAAAACCTTTTCACTGAGGTGATACTAAAAGCTTTCAGTGTCCTCCAAAATACCTTGCCAGTTCTCTCAATAGCGTTGCTTGCCAGGAAACACAATATGGCTCTGAACAAGGGCTATGAAGGGCTGGCATATTAAAAATACTTAGTTATTGACAACAGGTAACCTAAGGAACAATGGCTGAAAATGTACTTTGATTAATTATTCTCTTTATGTAAGGCTAGAACATACTAAGTAAATATCTATTTGAGATGACACCATTTGATATAACAATGAACTACAGAGGAAAAAAAGTATTTCTAGAACTTTAATTTTTCTTAAAATAAAAAACCCAAAGTAAAATAAACCAAAGGTACTCACTTTTTCCCCTCTTCATTTTACAAATAGATGTCAAATGCTGTTAACCTTCACAGAACTCATCTAAAAATGATTAAGTGTCAATAAAGGTTAACAAAAATAATCCACAAAAGGGAACATAAGCATTAGCACACTAGAAGTAACAAAGAGAAGCAGGGACTGAATAAACTGAAAAATTAGTACCTCATTAGACTTTTTAAAAATTTCTATTCCATTTCTATTTTACTTAAAAATAACAAAGAAATTTTAATATAAATCTTACATTATGAGCAAAAATTACATAATTTAGGTTTCAGGGATATGACTAGAATGATTTTTTTAAAATCCATCAATCTGCCAAAAGTGAAAAAGAAACTTAACTAGCACTTTAAAATCCTCTGTTTCTGCAGATCCTTATAGTCCTTCATGAAGCAAAAATGTTATTTTTATGTAATAGTAAGAGATCACATTCTTGGAAGGTAATTTTCAAAAGTTACAATATGATCTTAATAGAAGAGTAAATTTACTGTGCTGAATACTTGGAGAGAAAAACAATACCTTGGTTTCAGAATTAGTGAGTCTCTTGCTCCAGTAGTTCTTATTTGCAATTCCCACATGAATCAAAACAATCATATTTCCAAAAGTCTAATTGGAACACAAATCCTGAAACTTGACTTACTGTCCTGTGCATCTTCTACTCCTTTGATAAAACTCTGGAAAACACTTTTACAAATTATATTTCTATTTAAAACCACCTTAAGAACTGTCACAGTGAATTTAAATTTTCTGGGAATGCTGCTGCAGCTATGGCATACCAAATGCCAGTGCTACCAGCACTGCAAGATAAAGCTCCTTCAGGATTATCTCAGCCAGAAAACACCATGCCTTTCTGTGCCCATCACATTTGCCAGAACAATTTTCAGTCCAAACTGGATTTCTGAACACCAACACACCTTTTCAAAACCAATATTTTTAGGTCTAACTGTTGCACAAGATTAGGCTCAAATTAATATTTCTAGGAAACATTCATCTTCCTCCACAACTATATTTGTATCAAACTATCTGAATGCTTCACATCAGATGCATATATCCTCTATAGTACAAATGCACTGTCTTTTGTCCCCTGATTTCGAAGGGACAGAGAAGTTAAGCATCAGGTGCCTATAAAAGTGCCTATAAAACAAAGAATTAAATAAAGATGTGCAAACAAAATCTGGAGCCTTGAACATGGTGCTGAGGCTCTCAGCAGAGAGCAATGTGAGAATCTGGCAAACTTCACTTTGGATTGTCCTGCAGATGCTGAGCTGCCTAAACACTGTATTTGCCTCAACAAGCAGCAAATAAAGACAGAGTGATGCCAAGTGTCCTGCCCCTGAAGAGGAGCATCTCTTAGTTCTTCATGTCCACATTTCCTCTAACACGAGGTGCCCACTTGCTTCTCATCTTTTAGAAAACTGAAGGAAGTTGAGTCTGCCTGTTGTATCAAATCTAATAGTTAGAACACCCATGCAGGAAATAGGAGCATGAGGACTCATTTCCTCTGTTTTTCTAAGAAAATACAGTAGTAAATATCTTCCTGTTATGTAGCATAGCTTGGGTGAGGGAAATTCAGTTTTTTCTGCTGAACTGAAAAAGCGGTTGACAAGTAAATGTAAAATTGTTTTAATATCCTGAAATGCATTCATTCTCATATGCAGGGTTGGTTTGTTCTTGTAATATTGCCTGGGTGATTACAGAAAAGTAGAAGGACAAAATCCATTAATGCCTTTTGCCACACAACTTCTGCCACAGCATGCATAAAAAAATATCTACTGAGAGTCTCCTGCTTTAGCCAAAAAACATATTGACTCTTCTCTGAAGCTGAGTGGCCCAAAAGGAACACATTCCAAAAAAGTACATTATATTTAGTTCTTTAATAATGGATCTGAGGTAAGAGTGGATGAAGGAAGCACCCAGGTTCTCACACTTAGCCTGCCAGACAAGAGAGTTTCTGTTTAATTTTCAGTGTGTCCTTGCTGATGTCAATAGTTCTCTCATAGCCAGCATAAACATGATTGGAGGGGTCCTGTTCATATCACCTCTGCCCTTGCCAGAAGGAGGTTTGCACAATCATATTTATCACATACTCTGAACAAAATGGCATTTCTGTCATTTGGATAAAGAGGTGCCTTATTACCACTGAGTGTTGAAAAACTCTGGTAACTCTGTAGGAAAGCTTTAAACAAGGTATTTTCATCCAAATTAAACTTTCTTACTATGCTTTTGAAAGGTGCACTGCTATAACTCTGCAAAGACTGTTAATTGTGAAATGGTCTTATCCATAAAATATGTCAACTGAATTTTACAAATGTGACATAATTATTCTACATTCCTTCAGCTTCTTCTGACACATTAATGATTTGTCAGATTTTAATCTGAGAGCACAAGCTACCTTTGGAGAGGTAGGACAGAGGAGATAAATTTCTATATTTTAATGCAGGGTGGCTTGGATGGCAATGGCTCAGGCAGCTTCCAGGTCCTTCCTGAAGGAGCTGCCCTTGCAGCTAGGGGGAAGAAGTGCTGTAGCTGTCTCTTCATGCGTGAGAGCTGCTTATGTAGTTGGCAAGGATGAACTGTGCTGCTAAATCAAGTATTTAGGATATGGAATTGTCACTCTAATGACTTATGTGCAATGTTATCTTTAATTTAATACATCTTAAATTCCTTGTGAACTTAAAATAAAGTGTACTTCCAAATTACTCAAAAACCTGGTCTGTTAATTAAGAGCTACAGACCAATATAATGTGCTAACTTAGAGTTGGACAATTAGCTTTACATTATTATACAAATGGAGTTGTGTTAAATGAGCAAGAAGAGCCCAGTATTTTGTGGTACATTGACACCTCAATATATTTTCAGTGATCCTGCTGTAATATTGTGTTCAGTGAATTTACTGTAGATTTACACTGGCATTAATTAAGATCAGAATTTGGACTTTGAGTTTTAATCTACCTTGGTTTGTAAGCATGTCTCATTAGAAGTGAAAACAAACTGTTCCTAAATTATTTCTATTATACAGCACTGGTTAAAATGCTTGCATTTTAGGTACAGATTTTTACTGTGCTGCATTTCTCTGAAAATATTAAACAATGATTGAATATTTTATTCTTATTCACACTTGGAAATAACTGTCCAAAAAAAGAGAAGGAACATTTAGAGAGGAGTAATTTCTCACTGTAAGGCACTTGGTTTCATTTCCTTGAGCTGAATCCTATCCCTATTAACACAAACTGAGCACCCTTGAAAGTAGAACTAATGGCATCTTTTCAATGTTTAAAAATGTTACACAAATATTTCACTCTTTTTTCCCATTGAAAATAAAAATGAAATTGTGCCATAACTTTTAAGTTAATTGAACTTAGAAAACAAAACAAGATTTAGTGTTATACACTAATTTAGCATGTTAGTTTGAACTTGCAAATGCAAGATCAAGCTTTTAAAATCACATTAGTGTAATTTTATAAGCTTTCAACTATCACTAAGAAAATGATCTTTCTGCTGTAGGATAAGTTTAAACAGTTTCCAACCATGAGCTGGGATTTTTATGGAAGAAAAATGCTCATCTCCTGAGGAAGCAGAGGCAAGGCATATTTCATTTCACAACGTTGCAAGTCTCTGGCAAGTACTTCTGACCTAAAAGATGGTGGCTTAGATAAAAATAAAGACAGTAAGCAACACTTCTATCCACTTGCAACCTTTAGGAAAGTAGTTGTCATGACTTCCCCGGCAGGTTCTTTGCTGGTTTCATGTCTCAGAAATCAGGATCCAGCCCAAGGCTGGAAAGTGATGGTCTGGGAGGCTGCTCACAGACACCCAGGGGCAGCACTGCAACTTGGTTTCCTGAGCAAGATCCCAGGATCCACGTTCTCACTCAGCCTCAAACTGTCCCCAGCGTAGACTGATCTTCCTTACAAAAGAGTAAAAAGAAAGGAGGAACTAACACCTAAGGTTTAATTTGTCAGTATTGGCCACATAGGCAATCAAGCAGGTGCTGCAAAATTGTGAGCTCCAGCATGTTCAGGGTCTCTCTTGCCTTGCTGTGTTGGAGGTTCCAATGGCCACACTCTCCTGCCTCAGCAGGAGCCCCTCGGCTGGGCCCTTCACCCTTGCTGGCAGCACCTTGCCACACACAGAGCCACACACGGTACTGACACACTGCTGGGCTTGCTTCTGCAGGGGAGCTGGGGACAGAATTGTTAGTGCTGAGGAAAGGCTAAGCCTGCCATCCCTGGGATATTTCTTGTCCCTAGTCCTGGTTCTCTTTAACACTTCATCAAACTATTCAGTATATCAGGAAACACTGGGCTACTTACAAAGCATTCGAACAGTACCTGAGGTCATGGCTTGCAGCGCTGCATTGCTGAAGGGAGCAGAGTCCAATCTCTACCCAGCACATTATTCAAGCAATATTGCTGAAACTGGAAGAAGAGGATTTAATTTATTTCCTTAGATAAAGGAAAACACACAGTATAGATACAGTCAGAAGCATCAACAAGAATATGTACTTACATTTCCCCTTAAGCTAAGTTTAGAAAAAAGGCTGAAACAAAACTTGCTCAGTTAAAAACCTAGAAATTCTCTTTGCTGTCAGGATATCAATAGAGACAAATATATATTTCTTCTAAAAGCCTGAAGCACACAAAAGTGCCTTGATTACAATGTTGACTTTCCCTGTGATGTGGAAGCCAAGGGTCATGCAAAGGTCACACCTGCACAGGTACCGCTGCGAGTGCATCGCCCTGGCTGCTGCACAGCACACTGGGACTGAGGCTGATTCACAAAGGGCAGTTTCTAGCAGGACCTGCTCCTTTCACACAGTGCAAAGCAGAATTTAGTCTTGGCTTAGAAGCTCTATCAGAAGTTTGTACCATTGTGAGCTGCTATGTGGCCTTTAAATGACCTTACCACCAAGGATTTAGACTTCCTCGGAGCACATGGATGAACATGCAGCAAATGTTTGCTCAGCCTAGGAGGTATTATTAAAGATATAATATTAAGATGTTAATTATATATCATTAGATGATCTTAAGATAGTATTATACTTATTAATCATTCCCTCGAAATCTATGGAGATATAAATGTGAAATAACATAGCTTACTTTATTCCATATATTATGCTTTAGGATGTAGTTTCAAAGCCACAGATCAGCAATTTGAAAACCAGATCACTGTCCAATCAATCAACTAAAAAAAAAATTTATGGGAAAAATATGACTTCTAGAAACCAGGGCTCAGTTGCCATAGGAAATCAGGTCTATCCTAAATTAGAATTATTAAGTGCTGAATCGAGTTTACCCTGAAAAGGTAAATTTTTGGAACATTGCTTCTAAAAAAATAACATCCAACTTTCAAAAAAAGATGAAGAAACCAAAATCAAAATCCAAACACAACTTTTTTTTTCACTTGACCAATCAGAAAGACCAATCTCACATAAATCTGATGTAGTTGTCTTTAATAATAAAGAATATATGAGGCGATTTTCCTGAAACAAAGAAAAACTCCAACCAGCAAGATTTTTCCTAATACTGTGTCTCTGGGAGTCAGCAATAAGCCTCAAAACAGCTCCCTTCTTTTCCATCTTGCTTTTAAACATGGCACTTATACTGTTAATTCCCCATTACTCTATCTTCCCCTCAGAACTCCCTGCTGTTTTCCCTCCCAAACACATACATCTTTAATCAGCACCTAAATCACATGTTTATTTTATCAGTCTCCAGACCCTGCAGTTCAGCCTCAGTTCAACCCTCACATTTTGTGTTCTGGACAAGATTCAAGAGAGTTGTCAGCTATCTTTTATGGCATGAGAGCAAATCCACCTACCCATGCCCCTTCTCTGCTGATGCTACTCTGGTCATTACATTCCCACATCTTCCCAACCAGTGCTGCTGAGGCTTCAGAAGCATGCAGTGACACAGGCAGTTCAATGAGTCACATTTCCATCTGCCATCCCTACCAGGGGATGCTGTTTCTTCATTCACACCCTGCTCTCAGTGACTCCACAACTGAAGGGACATCACAAAGACACGAGCCAGCAGTCAGAGATCAGGGAGGGGACAGAGAGGAGAACCAGCAGTGGGAGATCCCCAGTTTGACCCTGCTGCCAAAGGTTCCCAGCTACAGCCTGCAGCATGAGTAGCATGCTGCATACCCTGACTAAAGGAAAAAGCCATTGCACTTCCCACCACAGAGATACAAAAACTTCATAGCAGCTCATTCAGTTTTAGGTAATTTTGATGTTTTAAACTATACCAGGTAGCAAAAGACATGCTAAGGTCAAGCCCACAGAAGATCACTTTCCTGCCTCACATCCCTGATTCTCCCTCCTCACCAGCTGAAGACTCCCCACACTAGGAAACTCTTAAAGCAATGAACCAGTTTCTTGCTGATCCTCATAAATCAGTAGAACAGGCTGCATAGCAGAATATGTAACTTTAAGTCCATATGCACACCTAGATCAAAGCCAAGAGGACACTTACAAGTTTTAATTTAATGTCTTAACTCTTAGGGGTGAAGCACTATCAAGGTGATTTCAGCTAGACTACACAATATCTCTTCTTTTAAATCAAGGTTGTTTTCATATTAACTGAAGTGATTAAATCATAAAGAAAACTAAACTCTGTAACACATTAGTAATGGACTTCAAGCTTACAAAGAGCTTAAAATAACTAGAGGTTAACCTTCCTTCCTGCTCAATAGGCTTCACTAGCAGGTGAAAAGGAAAATTAAATCTATGCAAATGTGCTCAGCTTTCAAAACAACAGCAAAAATATATTGTTCCCTCTTCTGTTTGTGTGTATGAGGGATATGTACTGACTTCATGGAGTTACTCCAGCAAGCTGTGAATGATGATGCATGAAATGAAAAAATCTCAGTCCAATGCACAGGAAGAATACAGAGAACAGCAGGCTGTCAACAATATACTTTTTGGATGAGAATGGATATATACCACATCCTGCTTGGACGCAACTGCTGAATTCATTCAACTCATGGTATCATATGATGAGGGGAGCACTTCCAGGTTCCATTGGACACATTCCAGCTCTGCAAGACAGCACTGAATAATTAATTAAAAATTCATTTTTTATCTAATTGAGCAATATTTTCTGTCTCAATTGCAGTTGTAAATAGAATCAGAGGAGACAAGTGACAGTCTGCCATTAGATCACTGGTCAGAACAAAATATCCATTAATAATCTATATTCTCCAAATCTTTATTTTACTCATCTGTTTGATTGCATGAACAGGCAAATTCTAGATAACAGAGAAATTAATAAACCCATTTTGCAACCCTCCAGCCACTGACTACAGTCTCAGTCATGATACAAAGCCCCACTTCCACTAAAAAAATTAACTCATAGAGAAGATTAAACTTTGCAGCAGCCAGACATCACACAGAAACTTCAAATTCCAAGATACAGTATATTCGCTCCTGCAAATGCACTCTTCAAGAAGCAAGATTACTTATAAGTAAAGTCCTGCAAAAAACCAAGGTAGGCTACTTTAAATGCATTGAATTAAAAAAAAAAAAAAAGGCAAAAAGCCAGCCATGCTTATGTAAGATGACAGATTGCAAAGCAATGACACTGAAAGAGGCACACCAGTGTTTTCATTCACAAAGAGAAGAGTGGTCTCCCTTTGCCTCTTTTGGAGTGTAACTTTTTCTGGAGATAGAGCTGATGCCAATAGCACAGGGCTTCAGCACAGCTGGTGTTTGTGCAGCCTAAGGGGACAATAAAAGGTTCCTTCTATGTCCATGTTACTGGTGCACAGGGAGTGCTGGATCTGGAAATTGTGATTAGATGTAGGTTTAGAGCAGCTGACAGCTTTCCCCCTTTGGTTTGGAAGGCAATACACAGGAATGCTCACTGAATAAACATAAACATTTATTTTAGGAGAAAAATTATCTTCTCTTACTACTTGAGCTTTCAGACATTGCACAGCCTTCCAGAAAAGAGTCAACAATATTCCAGGTACAGCCAGGGGCACAATGAGGGCACAGTGGACACACATGTAGCTGCAGGTCCAGCTGCCCTGCGTAAGGGGTACAGAGATAAATCAGCATTTCAGTGTCCAGCCCTCTGCTGGGGATGTGCAACAAGACACAGATAGCACTGCTTGAAAAGCCAAGCAGATGATTTCCATAACAAAAAATGTTTCCTATTATTTCCATGCAGTACATAAAGAACTAGCTGAAGCAATTTGAAAAGAAAAAGTAAAATATTTTTAACTTACATATAAGCAACACAGACAATAGCAACGGAAAAGGGCTCTGACTTCTAAAATTGTTTGTATATAATGTAATAATCACTGTCTGAAATTTCCACAACATTGTTGCCATGCTTGCAAATCAGGTAATGTATCAACTCTCAGAAAATTTGCTAACAAATTTCAAAGGCACAAAACTGTTTATTTAGAACTAGCTCAGTGTAAACTTTGTGTGAGAAGAAAATTAGCTATTGGTTACAGGACCTGTTTAGGACAAAACCTAAAAGATTGAAAAGCTCAAAATATTGAAAAAATGCATATCTAAACAAATAAGATCTAGACTGGAACCTTTAAAAATATTATTAAGGAAAATTATTCCCTTATGTTTCAATATATTACCAGTAAATAAGATATGTGTAAAAGCCCATTAAACACCCCATTAAAAATGTTTCTACTGCATTAAAATAGCAGTCCTTTCTCTCCTGGTTGAGATTGATGAGAAAGTATTCTGCCTGATGATCGTGGTCATTACTGTGCAACTCCTTCAGGGCTCCTGTGACATCATCCATCAGTTTGTTTTTACAGACCTGTCGAAGATGCTAGAGGAGGCCCTGAATTTGAAATTTATCTGCTGCATTTTTCCCCTTAAAACACTGTGACAGAGCATCTGTCAGAAGGCAGAAATTGCCAAAAATTTTATCAAATGAGATAAGCAAATACCACCCATGAGCTTCACATATCAAGTGAGCATGAGATTACTAAGCATGTACAAGATAAACAGTGGAGGGTCAACATCCACCTTAGTCAGATTAAAGAAACATACTTAGGGCCAAAGGAACAAGTCCTGAAATATAGGCGCTTTTTTTTTTTTTTTTTTGTGCACTTGATAGAACAATTTGTATAAAAATATAGAAACACAGATGGGGAGGTGTCATTCTAATGCCAGCTTTTTCATCAATCCCTGACATGTCTTGAGAGAGGAACACAGTTGATTTCTACTTACCACTGAGAGAGTGAGAGGACAAATCCTGGATCTCTGCTTAGTACATAATCTGCTGCAGAAAAGAAAATGTAATTTAAGGTGGTTAACTAAGGATTAAACACTGTTAGCAAAGACTCATTGTCACTTAACCAAGAGTAACTGTAATGCTCAGTTTAGGCCTCAACTGATGCCCATTGCTGCATAAGGATGCAGATGTGTTCTCTGAAAACACACTCTTCTTGAGAAATTCTCCTTGCTGGATGATCAGGAGATAGAAGCACCTCCTAAATTCAGTAACACTTCAGTAATGGGATTGGGACACCCTTCAGTCACAACTCAATGCTTATTTAATATTACATTAGAAATATAGCAGTTTATATAAAATTAACAAATTGAACAAAATAGAATATTCTACTGTGCTTTCCTATTTGGGGCTACTCTGTGTTTGTCTTTTTTCTTTGGTTGGCACTAATTAGGGCACAACTTTCTGAAGTCCTGGGAACCTGCCACTGATTTCCAGTAGGGACATGCTCTCCAAACATCTTTTGAAGCCAAAGCAGATGCAGTGCTCTAACGATGTGGCCAAGGGCCCTGCTCTCCCCTCTTGGCTGGGCTGTCCTGGTGTGCACTCTGAGCAGCCTGACAGGAGGCAGGCAGCTTCCCTGGCTGTGCCCAGAGCCTCAGGGGAAGCCTTCTTTTCACTACCAGTGACTCTGGACAGGGTCCCAAGGGCACTTCAGAAGCCTGACTGCTCTGCCTGCCAAGGAGGACTGGGGTCATGGTCAAAGGAAAAAATCTAGGTTTCCAGAACTTTCCTGGCACAAATATGGCAACCTTCAAAGTCTGGCACATGCTTGCTTTTTCTTTTTTTCATAAATTCTGACAACCTAAATGTTCTTCTCTTCTTGCATTGCTTTTGCCCAAGCTGTATTGGAGAAATGTTTTCTGCAAGTATTAATGAAAAGATGAAAAGGGCTGGATTATTTAATTTTCTTTTTTTTTTCCCCATAAAAGTAAGCGCAACACATTTAGCTAAAAAGAAAAGTGGATAAGTGAGGTGAAATAGAGGTTATGACGGTCAAGTGAAAGATTGCTTTGCATCATCTTGTTTTAAAAAACCAACATTTTTTTTGTGCAACAAAGCAGGAAAAGTTTCAAATAAACTCCAGACAGCTTCATCTGTTATTTGTACTGTTTCATCTTCACTGCATGCCCCACAACACCTCTGACATGATCATTATGGCTGGAGGTAGGTGAAGAGCAGAGTAGAAGTAGCTGGGACAGCAGAAAGTTGCCTGGCTGTTGTGATCTCACAAAGCACCATCACCTGTTGCTGCAGGCACAGGCTGGGTTAGACTGAATTTATCTGACCTCTGTAGCAGAGAAAGAAAACTAAACTAAACAAGCTGAACGGCCAGACCTACCTCAATTGTTATTAAAACTTCATGAAGTTACAGGAATTCCTTCCTTTCTATACTAACTGAGAAGTTTTAAGTTCAGCAAAGCCATGCAGTTTCTACTGAGCAAAGTTTACAGCAAAAAAGAAACTTGGTAGATGCAAGCTAGGATTTTCCTCAAGCATGCTGTAGCCCAGAAAAAATAAGCATTTCCACCACTGTGATGCTTTCCAGTTGAATCTTGTGACCTTGCACATGCAGCAAAATAAAAGAGTGCTTTCAAGGGTGTTTGTTTTTATTTTTTTTTTCTAGTGAGAGAAAAAAGTAAAAACAAACTTCTTAGAGAGTTTCAGAGTAACTTAATTGCAATTTGTGAGATGCCATTATAAGTTACTGACAGAAAGACTTTTGTTTCATCTAACTGCATTCTCAGGATTTTGGTTAATCAGTTATTGATCCATTTAGAATTTCTATTCAACATCTGAAATGAATGAAAAACATACTCTTTTGACTGCCTAGTATATGAAAATAATTTCAATACACCTAATCATTAAAGAGAAAATGGCAAAATTGTACTGCCTTAGATAATTTCCATATTTATTTCTGAAGCAATAAAGATAATTACTTGAACATTTAGAAATACCAGATATGTAAAATTTTGAATCAATGTTTTAACCCAATATGGCATTGACACTGCAATACAATAGTGCTACTTTACTAAGAAATTAAATACTTGTGAAACACGTGTTTTCTAGAAATGAGAAATTAAGGTTCTGCATGCTTAATTTAAAAAACCAATCCTCCAGATCAAGATGTTAGCTAAATATAAAGTGGAGCAGTGTATTTATTATCTTTCATAACATTTCTCCTCTCAGATCCTGGCATGTATAACAATCAGTCCTAAAAGGTTTCTTGCTTTTTTAAAAGAAGTACTGATAAGCTGTAATCTCAGAAGTTTTTCATTAGAATATAGACTATTTTGAGTTGGAAAGGACTTCTAAAGATCATTAATCACACACATCCACCTCTGCAATAAGCCAAAATATTTCAGCTAGACTGGGGTGCTCAGAGCCCTGTCCAACCTGGCCTTGAATGTTTCCAGGGATGAGGCATCCACCATCTCCCTGGGAAACCTGTGCCAGTGATTCACCACCCTCATGGCAAAAAAGTATAGGTATTGTACACTAGGTATTGTAACCTAGTCTGAATCTATCTTTTTCTAGTTTAAAACTATTACTCTTTGTCTTGTTATAACAGGTCCTGCTACAGTCTGTCTCCATCATTCCTATAAGGCCCCATTAAGCATTGGAAGGCTGAGGTAAGGTCTCCCCAGGGCCTTTGCTTTTAATTCATTTTATTATATAGGAAATCACTAGGACAAAATCCTAATGACAACAAAGAATTTAGAGCAGAATAACCTGAAAAGTTAACATAATTAAATTTCCAAAAATCAGTCCCAGCTCTGGTCATGTCAGAATCAAAACTATTATCACCAAATCTGAATTTCACCCTTACTGTTTGCCAAGCCTGCAATATGGACTAAGATCACCCCAAAACACACTATTTATTTTGTAATGTCCAATCTACATCAGTCATTAATATGAATTTTAGCAAAAGGAATCTTTTTCTTTTGTTTTGAGATGTTTTACAAAATGTTTATGCCTAGCAGTTTTTTCCTAGATTTCTTCAGACTCAACAGTCTTTCCCTGACTTCTCTCAGCTTTGGATCAAGTATTTAGTAACCTACATCTCGTTTACTGCAGCTAAAACATCAAAATCATAACTACTATTACGTAATCAAAATAGGTAGACACTGATTAGGATAACTTTCACACACACTGGGATCTCTGCAGCATCAACAGTGGTGCAAACCTACAATACAAATCAAATTTTAACATCAAATTGAGGATACTAGCGCCACCCCCAGGTGTAAAAGACATAAAAAATGTAAACCAGGAGTGGAGTGGTGTGTTGAAAATACTCAGCAAACACTTCTCAGTATCTCCAAAGTAAAGCATGTAGGGAAGTTAAGTGACAAAACAGGTCACATAGCGCACAGAGAGAGGAATTCTACAAGAAAGGGTCAAATGGAAAGATCAAGCTGTTGTTCAGTAAACACAGAATAATCAAAAGCAAACTATACTGAATGTGACATTTCACCACTTCCAGTGTTTGAATTGCATCCCCACCCTGCAACATGACCTCTTTAAAAAAATCTAAAGAAATCAGAAATCTGAACTAATAAAATGCTCTAAAGTGTAACAATATATCCTTTTCTTTATAAGTAACTGAATATTGTGAACCACATACCACAGATAAACTGGATCATTTGTAACAGCAGGATGTTCCTCCTGTAATTTTAAAGCAGATTCTGTATAGATTTCTTACAGACAGGCTAAGAATGTTGCCACCTGATCATCCTCTCAAACCCCTACAATTTCCCATTAAAGCTTCCTTGCCTGTTGGAACTATATAACTGCCTATGTGCTATAACTGCCTTGACACAAAGGCTTATTCTTATAATTGTCATCTAGAGGGCAAAATAAATGAGAAAATACAAACAATTTCCTTTTCAGATATTTATTCTTTCAGGGCTCAGCAAGCTGTACATCCACTACTGAGTCTGTCAAGGCAGTAGCTGGATTACGAACTGCAGATTTACCATCCTCATCTATCAGGGAGCAGAACACTATATTGCTATTCCAGTAGAAGAAAGAATCACACACCTCTGTGTCAGCTTACAACTCCTCTTTGACACTAACAAGTCAACTATACTTAGCATGCATACAAGTGTAAGTAATAAAAGTATTAGAGAGCACTATATTTAAGACTAAAGGGGTTCTTTCATCTTTGACTTGCCACCCAGCAAGATGATAAGATTTGTAAACATCTCTGCTAAAATTATCTATAAAAACAGTTCCTAACTCTCCTCAGGAGTTATTTTGGCATCAGAGATACATTATTGGAACGTAGTCTGCTACGTCCTAAATCAATATGTGAGAACTATTGAAGTGTAATACAGTATAAAAATTCAGTGCAAATTCCCTTTTACCCAATTTAATCCCCTTAAAAACAATTTAAACAAAAATCTCTAAAAAGGCTGAACAAAATACAGGTGGGAGTTGCTAATTTTGAAAATACAGTTTGAAAAATCTCACACCAAATCCAGCAGATGTTGAGAGGACTGTCTTTTATAGCTAGTTAATCCAATCCAATGGCAAATGCTCACTGCATGCCATAACAATTATGTGGACACAGAGAATGATTAAACCCCATGCCTACCCCTACACTTTGCAACTTCAAACCCACTTTTCAGTAAGAAGAGAAGACAGTGACTATGATCCTCCCAAAGCCTGAGAGAAACAAAGGCAAAAGTTTGTCCAGAGAAACCTTATCACCAAATTGCCAGCCCCGGGGTGGGGTGCTCCCACACCTCCTGAGGAGCTGCCCAGGAGCTGCACACAGGAGCACAGGTGAGCTCAAAGCAGCACAGGCTGCCCCTTGTGCTCAGGAACCCAGAAACATTTCATAACTGACAGAAAAATAATGGTTTAATAGTTCTGCAGTCTGAAGTCCAGGTTTCGGCTTTATTCATAAAAGGTATGATGAGCCTTGGCTCAGGCCCAAGTTATGCAAATCCCAGGTGGCTGATCTGCAGAGCTTTTGTGCAGGTTTCATTGCAATTCACTTTTGGGTAGTGCCAATCCCTGCTCACTCAGTTCTGCTTTCTGCTTCTTGGATCTGGGTGAGTGCCTTATAGCCAAGAAGTTCTTCACAGTTATGATTACCTAATTCCCTTGGGCACTTGGAATTCACATGCAAAATATGCATGGATACTTACATGTGCACTCATATGACAGATGGGCATGTGACATACTGCATGTACACAGAGAAAGCCAAAGCTTTGAGCATATGACAGAGTCAACAATCATAGGAACTCTGGAAATGCACAGGAAAATATAATTCTATGATGATAAATTCTCATGCCAAATTTTGTGTTCCTATTAGTCTTCTCAGAATTACTTCCACAAACACTTACACACAAGAATTAAAAAAACTAGTAGCATCTCAACCATGTGACTGAAACCCTTCAACATCTGGGCTTCATTTTTACAGCGACTTCAATTAATATTGTCATGATGCAATTTTCATGCTGCTTTAGGCAGTACATCTGTCAGTGACAATGTGGTCAGGCTAGCAAAATGGTCAATTAAGTAACACCAGCTGTGATTAAGCTGTACCCACCTCTGAAAACTTCCTGACCCACTAGTCACAGGATAACTTGTAAATGTCCTTGCAACAGGTGGCACCATTCACTCTCCTGATATCCTGATGTGTTAATCCTGATTTCAGAGAAGCTTGAGGAGAAAAATCAATAAATAGCATTCATGCTCAAAGCAATGTTTCCAGCAATAAGTTTGCATAATTTTATCTGCAATGAAAATGTACTGGGGTGAATAACTTTGAGAACAGAGAGGAGACAAGAAAACAGCTTTTTCTTACTGGTTCTGCTTACTTTAAAGGACTACTAACTCTGGTGTCTTATCCTTCCATCTCCCCTTTCCTCTTCTCCAAATTAAAATGTGCTTTTAGAGGAGATTCTGTCCCTCTTGGCCCTCACCTGGGGAGTTAAAGTTAGTGAACTGAGTTATTACCTGAATACTGCCACTCCACACTAAATAAACCACCTGTCAAAAAACCCTGAAAATTAACGCAGAAGCCATCCAAGAAAGTTGGGAAATGCTGCAGCTGGAGGTTAAACGTGCCAGTCCCAACTCCCTGCTTGGGCCGTGCTGAATTCTGAACTCCACAGGAAGCAGGGACCTATCTAGCACAAGTGCAAAGTATTACCCAGACTATTAGAATAGTAGTAGGGGTAAAGATTATGTCAACAAGCCATTTAAAATTTGCCCCCAAGTCACTGCGGGCAGGTGACTTCTCCATATGGTTACCCTGGGCACCACCCTGATCTGACAAGCATTTCTCCAGGACAGACTTGCTTGGCAGCCACTTGGGCCCATTTCAGAAACTTGCTGAAACACAGATTCTTAGACTAATATCATCCTTCTACTGTTTGGTTTTTCCAAGCCCTTATAGATGCTTTCCTGCAAAATTTTTGTACCTCAGTAACTGGCAGAAAAAACGCAATTTTCAACCTAGACATGCTTCTAGTTTCATAACTGTAGCCATGTTTGAGCTTAGTTACAAAAAAAAAACCCAAACTAATACTATTTCAGTTATTTAGCTAGAACTGGAATGTCAAATCATGTGGCTTTGGGAAGGTATAGCTAAAAGAAGTATAGGGAAAAAACAGGGAGAATTTTTGCTCTTAAATTCCTAAACAAAAAGCTCAGGTCTGAGCTGCTTCCTGGAGAGACTTGCTTCCAACTTCATGCAAGTCTAGATAGCACTTTTTTACTCACCACTACCTACCCTTGAATCTTATATACATATATATAAAATGCACGTCTGCATCAGAAAATGACATGTCTTGCATGTAAAAGGCATATCAAGAAGTAATGACATTTTTCTGTAGAAGAGTGTAACTGCTGGTAATTCCATTAGAAGAATCTCTTTGAAGTCAAGTCCAGAATGTGATTGCAGTACAGGATTTTCTAGTTAATATCTCTTTTCTTTTTCTCCTTATTTCGGTGTAGTACCCGCTTTTAGCCAGAACCTGAATGCCCCAAGGGAAAAAGAGTTTTCAAACTTTCTACCTCTTCATTTCAGGCACACTTTTAGCATTTCTCTAAGGACTATTTATCTGCAAATATCATATCCTTCCTACCACATACTGAACTACTGAAAAGAAAATTGTCAAAGACAAAGATAATGTCAAACATTCAGATTTAACAATGTATTTTAGGGAAAGTGGTAGGGGTTTATGTTTTGGGTTTTTTTTAGGAATACTTGACAGTTCTTTGAGAAGACAAAGCAAAGGGACATCCTGGCAAATATTTCAAAGTATATTAAAGTTAGGGCAAGAATGGTTCTCCAAGAATCCAGGCTGGTGTTTCCAGCTAGGCTGGATGTCACAGCCATAACAAAACTTAAGTCCAACATTTTGGCTCACAGAGGAG